ATACCCACTGTACTCTAGCCTGAGTGACAGAATGTGACCTTGTCTCAAGACAAAACAAACAAACAAAAAAACCCAAAAAACATAGCCAGACCCTTATTTTACTAAAATAAAAACTTTCTGGCTAGATGTGGCTCACACCTGTAATCCCAGCACTTTGGAAGGCCAAGGCGGGCGGATCATGAAGTCAAAAGATTGAGACCATCCTGGCCAACATGGTGAAACCCCATCCGTATGGTAAAACTGAGATCACGCCATTGCACTCCAGCCTGGCAACAGAGTTTCACTCTTGTTGCCCAGGCTGAAGTGCAATGGCGTGATCTCATCTCAGCTCACTGCAACCTCTACCTCCCAGTTCAAGCGATTCTCCTGCCTCAGCCTCCCGAGTAGCTGGGATTACAGGCACACACCACCACACCCAGCTAATTTTGTATTTTTAGTAGAGATGAGGTTTCACCATGTTGGCCAGGCTGGTTTCAAACTCCTGACCTAGAGGGTATAGCTCAGGGGTAGAGCATTTGACTGCAAACTCCTGACCTCAAGTGATCCATCCACCCACCTCGGCCTCCTAAAATGCTGGGATTACAGGTATGAGACTCCCTGCCTGGTCAAAACATTTTTTAAAAAAAGAAAACACTGGAGAAATTTAGTTTCAGAAAGGTCAAAAGCTGACCTGTTTCTTCGTGCATGTAGCAAGATTCCTCTGGGAGGGTGTACCCTCTCTACACCAGGGCTAGGAAATAGCCTTCATCACTAGACACTTGGAATTGAAGGCTGCAATGGGCCTGAATAAACAAACCTAGTGAAGTTACTCTTATCTTTTACCTATATTTTACCCCTCCATATATTTCCTAATGACTCCTGTGGAAAATTTTACTGCCCTAGCCAGATTTTATTTTCTCTCAGGTTTGGGAAACACTCTTGTTAAATCATTTCACGCTCTCTGGGACTGGCAGATATTCAAACATATTTCTCTCTTGGGACACAATTCTGGGTCTTTTTTTCTCAAGGTTATTGCTCTTTGTCTAAAAAGTATGAAAGTATCTTGCTTTGGCCATTTCTTCAGACTTCACTCCCTTGTAAAGATCCCCATGTACATGTAAAACTAATACAATTTGTATACTTTTATTCATCTGCTTGGTGTCAGTTTGGTTTCCAGATCGAGCCAAGGAGCCCACTAGGAGTTAGAAAGGGGATTGGATGTGATTTGTGGCTCCCCTATTCATTGGGAGGACTCAATGAAGACTGAGTTACTAAAAAGAAAAAAAAAAAACACAATAAACAAGAACAAAAATGACTACTGAAATAAGTATAAGCAAAAGAACTGTAGAGTTGGGTAAATAATTTTAAGTAATTTAAAGTCCTACCCATAGATTTATTCCCAGGTGTGTTTAAGGTCTTGTTCCACTTTAAAGAAATCCAAACTGGAGAATCATAAAAGTGCATATTGTGAGTGGTTTGTTCAAGAATGGTAACACAGAGTTCCAATCAGTGAACCATTCTACAAAATAAACAAGCTTGCTTACATTTGAAGGCCTGTGAATGGCTGTATATAAATGGGTTTGAACTTAAAATATTTAAAATAAGTACAGATCACATTTTAGGATAATGGAATGGTTCCATTTCTGGACTGATCGCATTGTATTTGGCCTTTGTGATAGTCATTCCAAGGTCTCTTGGAAGGTCACAGATTAAAGACCCCTATGTTATTCACTGACCTCAGTGCTGATGGTTCTCTGGAAGACTAGGTGAACCAAAAGAGGTGAGGTGCAAACATCCTTGGCAGAGGAAAAAAAGGAAGCAAATTCAACAAACATGGACATGGAATAGAGCACCAGTTTCTTTCACTGGATGGTGTAGCAGGAGGGGAGTGGGAAAGTTGAGAAAACAAGTTATGATAAAAGCCAAAAAAGAGGCGTTGAATTTAGTTTTAGTCTCCATTTTCACATACTGGCTCTCTGAGGTTTGCTAAATAGTTTCAAGCTTTCTGAGATTGGGAGATATTCAAAGCTAACTACTTCTGTCTTAGGACACATTTGCAGATTCTGCAGAAGCTCCAGCAAGAACATTCTGTTGCATCTTACATAATTCAGGTGATACCATTTCTCTTTCATTGGCTGCTCTAATCTCAGCCTCTGTTTTTTGCTGGTCTAATCTACACTGGGTTATTCTGTTATGAGTTTCATGGCTCTTCCAGGCAATCCTCTTGGGCAAGATTTTAAAGGGTTTAAGCCAGCTCTCCTTCCAAAGAAATCTTCCACTCTGACAAACTCTTGGAGTGCAGGCCACTTGATATAATCATTTCATCTTCACCCCTTGGTTGGAACAGCTAGCCAGTCCACCGCTGCCTTTCACATGTTCTGGGCAAGAATTGGACAATGGTCCACTGCATCCCATTGCCTGGAGGAGTTACATATCAAGGTCTCCAGGTGGTCCCATTGAAATGGCTCCACCTTGGCTTGATCACCCAACCCTGCTTATTGGGAGAGAGGGAGGAGAGACCCTCACAAGCATATGTCCCTCCAGAAAAGTCCTCTTCAGAGAAGCCCTACAGCAACATCTCTTTACCTCCCTGAGGATGAGAGGCTTGACAACTGTGCAACTGGTTTTTGATTATCTACTTTGACATTCACAGAGATGGGTATGCTGGTAAGTTTGCAGCTAATATCTACTGCCTTACAGTTTCTGGCAGAAACTTCCTATTTGAAATCTATTACACTTATATTTGTGAATTAAACAATACTTGGATGTGATGTATTATTTTACTATCCTAATGGATTAAATTCACCAATGTTTAAGATTTTAGGATCTATGTTTATAAATGAAATTGACCTATATGTGTGCTTTTTTTGTACAGACCTTGTGTTAAGTAGCAGGATAGAAATTTACATACTATGACTCAAATGTGCAAAAGAATGAAACATTTGTTACTTTGTGTAATGAATCCTATTTTAGACTCAAGCCTCTATTCCTGCTAATAGCAGGGGGAAATTTTTAAACTGTGTTTATGTCTCTGTGAGTTTAAATAGAATTTAGTTCATTCAAAATTCACACTCCCAGCTGGGCACGGTGGCTCATGCCTGTAATCCCAGCACTTTGGGAGGTCGAGGAGGGTGGATCGTTTGAAGTCAGGAGTTTGAAACCAGCCTAGCCAACATGGTAAAACCCCATCTCTACTAAAAATAAAAAATAAAAATAAAAAACCATTAGCCAGGCATGGTGGCGCATGTCTGTAATCCCAGCTACTCGGGAGGCTGAGGCAGGAGAATCACTTGAGCCTGGGAAGCAGAGACTGCAGTGATCCAAGATAACACCACTGCATTCCAGTCTGGGCAACAGAGTGAGACCCTGTTTCAAAAAAAAAAAAAAAAAATTCACACTCCCTGCTGGCTGTTTTCTCCCCTCATAAAAGCATGAGGAGAACACCACACTGTCCCGTGGCCTTCCTCGAAATGTCCCTTGTCCCATTGTTGAAGCTGACAGAGGGAAGCCTGGCTGTACCTTATCTTTTAGGGCATCATTTTGCTGCCTATTACTGAGACTCTTCATTCCTGCATTCTGTGCTCTGCTCATGCAACCCAAGGCTTCCTGTAGCCAATGGGTTTCCCTCAGCACCATCTGTCCCCTGAGGAATCCCAGGAACTCTTGACTGCTTTCTCCTTGACATGATGTGGTGGTGGGATTCTCGGGGGCTGCTCTCAGACTTCTCTTTCAGCCATTGCTACCTGACTCATACTTAACATGGTACCAACTCCAATACAGGGTTGTTCTGAGGAACCTGTATCATCCAAAATCTGTTTCCCAAATCATTTGTTTCTGGCCTCCCACTCCTTTGTCTCATGCACACACTCTGCTCTTCCCAAATTATCAGAAGACTTCCTGCTTTTCCTTCCTGTCTCTCAGGAATTCCTCTACCAAATACCCTTTTCCTTCCTACATGGCATTAGTCCTCCCCTACTTTGAGTCAGTAACAGTGCAGGCAAAGGAGCGGCAGGTAAATAATCCAAATTATTAAAAGAAAAAGCAACCAGGTATGTGGCTCACACCTGTAATCCCAGCACTTTGGGAGGCCGAGGTAGCTGGATCTCTTGAGTCCAGGAGTTCGAGACCAGCCTAAGCAACATGATGAAACCCTGTCTCTACTGAAAATACAAAAAGTTAGCCAGGTGTGGTGGTGCACACCTGTCATCTAAGCTACTTGGGAGGTTGAGATGGAAGAATCACTAGAGCCCAGGAAGTCGAGGCTACAGTGAGCAATGATAGCACCACTGGGTAACAAGAGCGACACCCTGACTCCAAAGAGAGAGAGAGAATGCATTAGGTTATTTTTCTACACACACTTCAACTAGCTTACTTACATTTAAGTCCAAGATATTTATTGTTCTTATGCTTTTGCTGCTATATCAAGGATTGACTTGCATATAATATTTCTCTGTTATACTGGTGGGGTGGCATCCTGCCTATTTCCTCCAAGTGGTTTAATCAGCTTCTTGAAACCCATGCTAATAACTATTATATATAATAGCCATGGCCCAGATGGCTGCCTGCCTGCCTGCCTGCTTTCCTTTCTCTCTTTCTCTCTTTCTTTCTTGGTGGATTTCACTCTTGTTGCCTAGGCTGCAGTGCAATGGCACGATCTCAGCTCACTGCAACCTCCACCTCCCAGGTTCAGCAATTCTCCCGCTGGAGCCTCCCAAGTAGCTTACAGGCATGTGCCACCACACCTGGCTAACTTTTTGTATTTAGTAGAGACGGGATTTCACATATTAGTCAGGCTGGTCTGGAACTCCTAACCTCAGGTGATCCACCCGCCTCAGCCTCCCAAAATGCTGGGATTATAGGCATGTGCCACCACACCCGGCGTCTTATTTATTTCTTACTCTTACAACAACCCTGTAGAGTACATAATTCCATTGCCATCTTACAGAAAAATTAACCAAGGCACAGAAAATGGCTGTATTCACATATAGGCTGGGCTATAACAAAGACATACCAAAATAAAGTGACTTGAACAAGGTGGAGGTTTATTTCTCTCCCACAAAATACAACAGGGGCAGGCAGAAATCTAGGTTGGCAGGTTACAGAGTTATCCAGGGACATGGTACCTTCTGTCTGGTTACTCCATCATCATCTAAAGTGTGGTCCTCTTCTATACAGAAAAAGCTGACTCATCACCACACATCTACACCCCACCCTGTGGAGAGGAAGGAAAGTTGGATGAAAGACAGGCAGTTTCATTTTCTAAAAAATTGCACACAAAAGCTTCAGCTCACATCCCATTGTTAAGAAAGAACAGTTACCTGACCACAACTAACTTCAAGGGAGACTGCATAATATAGCCTATATCTCAATGGTCAGGTGTTAGTGTCAAGGTTAAGATTAGTGGCAGATAGGTGTGGCAAAGTTTCTATCACTAAAAGAAAAAGAATCACTTAGGCATCTCTGCCGCAGAATCCTATGTGATCCTCCCCTTCAGAATCCTGAGCAATGTACCCAGATAAAAACCTACATTTCCTTTTCTCTTACAGATAAAAGTAGTCAAGTAGATGTAAGCAGAAGTCACTGGGTAGGCTTCCTGGAAAGCTGTCATTATTGCCCTTCTTCCCTTCGTCTTTTCTGCTGCTTGGAAGGCAGGCAGATGAGGTGGTTAGAGTTTCAAAAGCCATATTGAACCAAGAGTAACGTAGAACATGAAGGCGTGTGCTAAAGATGGCAGAGCACATGGAAAGGGGGAACCTGGATGCTTAATGACCAAGGAGCAGCCACACCAACCCGAACGCCTAACTCTGTTCTTCTTTATTCTGAGGAAGATATACGCCTCTTTTTTATTTAAGTTGCTTTAATTATTATCTTCTACAAACAACCACATGTAATTTCTTACAAATTATTCAGTTAAGTAAGGTCTTCAGAGTCATACAACTGGGTCAAGCACTTGTAATCCCAACTTTGGGCGGTTGAGATGGGAGGACCACTTGAGGCCAGGAGTTGGAGACCAGCTTGGGCAACAGAGTGAGACCCCATTCTCCTCTCAACCTCCCTCACCACTTTCTTTCTTTTTTTTCTTTTATTTCGCGCACATGCGCGTGCGCGTGTGTGTGTGTGTGAGAGACATGGAGTCTCACTCCATCACCCAGGCTGGAGTGGAATGGTGCGATTTCAGCTCACTGCAACCTCCACCTCTCAGATTCAAATGATTCTCATGCCTCAGCCTCCTGAGCAATCAGGACTACAGGTGCCCACCACTATGTCCAGCTAATTTTCATATTTTTAGTAGAGACAGGGTTTAGCCATGTTTGCCAGGCTTGTTTGGAACTCCTAGCCTCAAGTGATCCGCCCACCTCCGCCTCTCAAAGTGCTGTGATTACCGCACCCTGGCTAACCTTACTACTTTCTAAGGAGTTTGTTTTAAATGCAATTATGCACATCAAGGAACAAACTTATTTGACTGCTAAGTTTGGAAAGAGAACCCTGGCCCTTGGAGAAATGGCTAGTTCCAAAATTAGGACAGAAAATATACAAGATGAATCTGAAGCATGGTGCCAGAAATAAGGAAATGCTAAAAATCAACATAAACTAAGGAAAACAAAAAACCACAGTAACACAACAATGGGGATATGTTAAAGAGAAACAGGAATCAACTGAAATAACTCTCAATGGCCAAAGCTGGAACAATTCGAGCACCAAAATAAACAAATTAGTATTGGATTATAATCCAGTGTACCAAATAAATACCCACAAAATCCAGGGTGACTCTTTCCTTCCAAATGCTGAACAGTGCGCCCATGTGAAAAACTGCATTTCTCATTTCTCTTGCCAGTTGGGAATGGCCAATTGGATGAAAGCAGACATCATTGAATGAAATAAATAAGTGATTGAAGAATAAGTAAAAGGGGGAGAAGAGCTGAATCTCCCATGCAAAAGAATTCAAAATAATTTATGTAGATACTCTGCCCTGAAGGAAGTAAGCATACCACCTCACTCCTTAGTGTGGGCGGTGCATAGTGACTTTTTTCTAAAGAGCACAGCATGGCAAGGAGGAAAACAAGTAACTGTAAAGTTACAAGTGAAAGAAAACTTTCTCAGTCAGGTGATCAAGGTCAACATCAGTAGTGATAAGTCACCTTAATAGCAGGTACCCTTGATATGAGGTGATCAAAATGGCTTTTTCCCTCTGTGGTCTTCCTTCCAAAAGCCCATACCCGCAGTGTAATCATGAAGAAAACATCAGACCATCAGACAAATCCAATTGAGAGATATTCTTCAAAATACCTGACAATTTTCCTCAAACCTATCAAGTTTACAAAAAACAAGTTAAGTCTGAGAAAGTGCCATAGCCAAGAGGAACCTGAGGAAATATGACAAGTGTATGTATCCTGGATGGGATCCTGGAACAGGAAAAAGACTTTTGGTAAAAATCAAGGAAATTGGAGTAAGATGTAGACTTTAGCTGATAGTAATATATCAATATTAGTTCACAAATTCTAACAAACATTCTTTACTAACATACAATGTTAGTAGGGGAAATTGTGTAGGGGGCATATGGGAACTCTATTATCTTTGCAAAATCTAAATTTTCTGTAAATCTAAAACTATTCCAAAATACAAAGCTTATATAAAAAGAAAAAAGAATAAGGCCAAGTGCTATGGCTCACACTTGTAATCCCAACATTTTGAGAGGTGAGGCAGGAGGGTCACTTGAGTCCAGGAGTTCAAGACCAACGGGTACAACATAGTGAGACCCTGTCTCTACCAAAAACAAAATTTTTAAAAATTAGCTGGTCATGGTGGTGCACACCTGTTGTACCAGCTACTTGGGAAGTTGAGGTGGGAGGATCACTTGAACCCAACCTGGGAGATGATGGCTGCAGTGAGCCCTGATGGAGCCACTGCAGTATTGTATTAATAACGAATTATACTGTACTCTAGACTGGATGACAGAGTGAGATCTTGTCTCAAAAGAGAAAAGAAAGAATTCCTGATGCAGCAGCCAATGGGATAATGGACAATAAAAAACAAATCCTTCATTTTGTATCAGTTGGCATGTTGAATTCCATATTCTTTTTTTCTTGTCTTTTGTTTTTTTGTTTTTTGAGACAGAGTCTCACATTGGCATCCAGACTGGACTGCAGTGGCACAATCTCCACTCACTGCAACCTCCGCCTCCTGGGTTTAAGCAATTCTCCTGCCTCAGCCTCCCAAATAGCTGGGATTACAGGCACCCACTACTACCCCCGGCTATTTTTTTGTATTTTTAGTAGAGACGAGGTTTCACTATGTTGGCCAGGCTGGTCTTGAACTCCTGACCTTGTGATCCGCCCACCTTGGCCTCCCAAAGTGCTGGGATTACAGGCGTGAGCCACGGCACCTGGCTTGAATTCCATATTCTTGAATGGTGTCCTAAGATCTCACTCTACTCTTGATTTCCTTAGAACAAAACCCCTAGAATACAAATCCAGCAGCAGCCAAATCATTATCCAATAAGAGCTACCATCACTATACTTTTGCCAACCATCGTCATTCCAAAGGAGGAAGGTACGCTGGGACTCAGTTGGAAGATGGCAGGATGAACACACTATTTCCTTCTTTGTCCATGGCACCTCTCATGGGCACGTTTCTACCTAGTATTATGAGTTCTTAATTTGTTTTATCCCAAGAGATGGATTTCGAAAGGGGGGAAATGCACTGTTTCATTACTGATACTTTAGAGCCCCCTGTGAGCCTAGAAAAAGATCTAGGATTTTGTTAATGAAAGGAAGGTACCTGGGTGGGGCAATGCTCCCTTCCATTTAGCAAAGCTGTATTTTTAGCATAATATTGGGAATGTGGAGCAACTTATTTGACTGGTAGGTTTGGAAAGAGAAACTGGGCATGTACAGCAGAACCCCTTCCCATCTCCTTCCCTTTGGGAGTATGTCTGCCCACAGTTAGCGGGCTCTCTGCTCTGATACTCCATGTTGTGTGTCATCTAAATGTCCTTCCCTTATGGAGGAGCCCTACAGAGAGTCTGTATTAGTCTGTTCTTACATTGCTATACAGAAATTCCTGAGACTGGGTAATTAATTTATAAAGAAAAGAGGTTTAATTGGCTCACCATTCTGCAGGCCATACAGGAAGCATAGCAGCACCTGCTTCTGAGGAGGCCTTGGGAAGCTTCCAATCATGGTGGAAGGTGAAGGGATAGCAGGTACATCACATGGCAAAAGCAGGAGCAAGGGGGAGTGGGGAGGTGCCACACACTTTTAAAAGACCAAATCTCACAATAACTCACTCACTATCACAAGGACAGTACCAAGAGGACTGTACTAAATACCATTCACGAGAAATCTGCCCCCATGATCCAACCAACCCCCACCAGGCCCCACCTCCACACTGGGCACTGAATTTCAACATGAGATTTGGGTGGGACACACATCCAAACTATAGCACCATCTAACTCTGAGGTTTGGCATTAAGAAAACAATTTGAATCCCACATGTAAGTCACATTTTCTACTGTAATGAAAATAAATATGTTATTTTGGTCTCCAATCTGCCAGCTCTTGTCTTATTGAATGGTTCAGAACTTGGATGGAAAAAGAGAAGTGTTATTGATCACCCCAGAAGGCTTAAGCTTTGGGCAGTTTTCCCCAGGGAAGTCAAGGCCATGTTACATAAATGTCAACTGAAAGTAAGTGCTTGCCATAGGACTTGTAGGACTTGACTCTCAGGCTTTTTTTATTTTTTAATTTTTTTGACAAGAACTTGCTCTGCCAGCCAGGCTGGAGTGCAGTGGCATGATCACAGCTCACTGCAGCCTGAACATCCCAGTATCAAGTGGTCCTCCCACCTCAGCCTCCTGAGTAGCTGGGACTACAGGCATGCGCCACCAAGCCCAGCTGATTTTTTAAATTATATTTTTTGGTAGAGATGGGGTTTCACTTTGTTGTCCAGGCTGGTCTTGAGCTCCTGGGCTCAAGAGATCCTTCTGCATTGGCCTCCCAAAATGCTAGGATTATAGACATCAGTCACCATGCCTGGCCCCAGGCTCTTTTACTGGAACATAGGGCTTGGTACATAGACAGGTACTATCTCTTGGAAACGGTGGTATTCTGAAAGACTTCCTAAGTGTCTCATATGGCTTGTTAGCAGTCTCTAGAGATGTGATGCATATTATACAGACGTAGTCGTATCTCCTTTAGGCCAGGGCTCACTCTCC